GAAACGTGGATAGAAAGTGCTGAGGCTGGCGGGAAGATGTGGGATAGATCAGGAGGATGAGATAAGGGTGCCCTTGGAGTTAGTACGAGTGGAGGTACCATTTTACAATATGGCACTGACCCCCACATATGATAGAAGACATAACCCCCCCAATTAGGAATCAATCACAAACAAGTGTAGGCAGGATCAATAAAAAATGTTCTACCACCGTAACACTGCAAAGAAACTACTGAACACCAATGCCATAGGCAAGTTTTCACAGTCAACAGAGATCACTAGGGAAGGGATGATCATTACTTGACTCCCTACAGAAGCCAAGAGAAAGTGGCATTACATCTGCAGAATCCTCAGAGACAATACACCTAGCAACCTGTAACTTTCCCCCAACCAAACCAAGGGCAAGAACAAAACAAACAGACAAAAACTGCAGGTAGGCTGAAGCTAAACATAAAGCCTCAGAAGACCTTGGGGAAGGGAGCCTGGGCCTCAGAGAGGAAAGAGATTAAGTACAATTTGTGAGAAGGGAAACTGCAAATCTGTGAGCCAATGTAAGCAAGCCTTAATCTTATGTAGCCCTGACACTAAGAAAAATGATTTCAGAAGATGGTCTAAAAAGGCAAAACTGGCCAAATGGACAAGAGGGCAACAGAGCTCGAAGCCTACCAAAGTCCTAGTGAGGCCCAGAAAGTGGTGGGCCAGCTAGAGATGGTAGCTTGGTGGAATGGCCCAGGGAGAATAAATTATCTAGGCAGGATGGTGCGCATGCCTGTAGTCCCAGCACTCAGGAGCCTGAAGCAGAAGGACTACCGTGAGCTCAAGGCCAGCCTGAACTACATAGATCTTATTTCAAAAACACAAAGCAGAACAATCCTGTGGGAACCACCAAAATGCAGAGTCCTGATACACAACCTGGAGACAAGGAACCAAAATATGAGGCTGTTTGTCTGGGCGAGTGTACCCAGTAAGCAGGAGGGTTGAGAGCACACACAACTGCATGTCACTGTGCCAGGCTCATAGGCACAGCATACAAACACAAGTGGGCACACCTACTGGGGACTGTGCATGTGATGTGCCCACTCTGTTTCCTAGGCAAGACGACCCACTAAGCACACAGTGAGTCTGCAGGATCCCTGGGTGCAGCAGCAGCTAGGACATGAGTGTCAGGTACCCTAGGCCTGAGTATGGACAATGGTACCCTGCCAGTGCAGGTCCCTGGCCTTGCCCTCCACTTCTACCTCTGCATAGCTAGAGACCCAGGCCCCTGGTGCTGGCAAGCAGAGGGACATATGACCTGATTTCCTGCAAATCCTGTGAGTAATAGACAATATTGTACTTTACTGCAGGGAAACCATGTCTAGCTGGGACCCTCTGTGCTCTTGGTCCAGACTTCTGATGTCTCTACTCCCTGCCCTGGGCAGAAATGGCAGAGTCCCTGCCATAGTGGAAGAAATGGGTTCTCTGCAAGGTCCAACACCTCACCTTTGCTGTGGGTTGGTTTGATTTCTGATGGCCCTGAATAGGGACACTGCCCTCACCTGTACCCACTACCTACGCACACCCGAACAGGCATCTTGGGTAAGCCCAGCCAGTGTGTCTTGGGAGGTCCCCCATGGTCCTGGGCCTCTTGTTTCTCCATTTGTAAATTGCTTCTGTACTGCAGTCCACTTTCTCCCACTGCTGCAGAAGCAGCACCTTGCATATGAGCCAGAGGGCCACGTGCACGAGGGCAGTATGTGCTGCATAGGTGGGTGACCCATACCAGGATTGAGGTGTCCTCTGCCCAACTTGCCTAGTCCTTGCAGCCGGAAAGCATATGCCTGACCAGGTTTGGTTCGGCAGTGGAAGTGTGTATGGCTGTCTGGGCTCTGCCTCATGGGAGCAGGGACTGTGAGATTTTCCCAGTGATGGCATCTGCCCTGGGATTAGCACTCTGTCTTTCCATGCAAGGGCTTTCCAAGAATCTCCCAAGTGAAGAAGACACAGGCATGTCCGGTAACCCACAGGGCAGGGTAACTCCTGATCTCTGGGGACCAGGTCTATGGCTCAGACTCTGAAATCCCATGGCCCTGGACTAGGCCAACTTATCATTTAGCAGGAGAGAAAAAAACCTTGGTGTGGGAGCCTTCCACAAAAGATGCCTACCCTCCTCTGCACTTGTACCTCATTAACATGCTACAGACATCACTGACGACTTAATAACATGAAACGGGCTGAATGCACGGCCTCAGCTCGGGCAGACCCATGCTCAGCAAATACAGAGTGAGGCTTCTCCAAGCCAGGCACACAGGCTGCATCCTCAGCCGCCTCTGGTCATGCCCAACCTGCCTATTAGCATTCCCAGAAAGCCCCAATTTGCATCCAGACAAAGGTTCTACTCCCCGGAAGCCAGAGCTGTGGGGGCAATGGGCATTTGTTGGCACAATTACCCTTTGTGCCTGCTCCAATGGGCAGGCAGGGAGCATGTCTCAGTGGTGCATCGCAATGTGTCCAGGTCTGAGCCAAATCCCATGCCATCTGATGAGGCCATAGGGAGGCTGGTTCCCAGTGGAGAGGCACTCAGGCTTGATCTTGCCAAATAGATGCCCATGACAGCCTCAAGGAATAGGGAACAACCACAGCCCCTTCCTGGAACACTTCCTGCCCTTCTGCTAAGAGTCACTGGTGGGGACAATGACCAAAGACAGGAGAACAGTCAGCTGTCCTAGAACAAGCTAGAGTTTGGTAGGCCATGTCTCAGTACCCATGAGCACAAGAGATCAGGAACAGGGAAGTCTGTCACCCTCTGCAATGGTCTAGATGGTCACACTGCCAATAAGATGGAATATTCTAGTAGGTCCTGGAACATACTGGTGGGTCCCAGCCACTGGGATGAATTTTGAGAGGGGAAGAAAATGACACAGAGATGACAAAAGAGCAGAAAGGAAGAGCATCAAGGCAAGGGACAGCTGAGACACACTGCTGTTTCTGAAACCCTACCTCCACCTGCCTGGGAGGGGATCAGTTAATGGACTGCCTCCTCTCTGCTATACCTGGAGCCCTGGCCACATAGCATCGTCTGGAAAGGATTGGCTTCCAGGAGCTGGAAGTTTAGAATCTGGAACAGTCATGTCTAGCCATAAATGGGACTTGGCCAAGTAGAGCTTTCCCACACTGAGGGAAAGCAAGAAAAGAGATTCCTCCAAGTGGGTATCTCCCTGGAGGGGCATGCCCAGAAAGAGTAGGAGAAGGAGGGCTCGGACTCTGATGGGTAGACAGTAGGCCAAAGGAACTATCACACGACCTTGGCATGCTGGCTGTCCATCGGGACACCAGCGAGTGGTTGAGGGAAAGTTGGCTCCTAAACATTGTGTCCTCTGCTGACCTTCCAACCTCTCCCTCCAGAAATGGAGGGCTCTCTCTTGTTCTGAAGGTGAGGTCTAGATTATTTCTTCCTGGAGCTGTCATAGCCAAGTGTTTCCAAAACAGGTACCTGTCTATCCCAGGGACCATGCCCTGAGAATGGGCTTTATGAGTATTTCACAGGATGTCTCACAGTGATGTGGCACCAGCAGTCAGTAAGTACAGCCATCCCTCCCTATCTGCAGAACATTGTTCCCATAACCCCTGAGGATATCAACATCCATAGATGTTCAAGTCCCTTATATAAAATGTTGTAGTATTTGCATATAACCTATACACATTAAATTAAATCACAATACCTGATACAATGTAGATGCAGGTAAATAATTGTTATACTATATTGTTTACAGAGTAATGACAAGAAACAGTCTGCATGTATTTAACACAGATGCAATTTTCTTTTCTAATATTTTTGGTCCACCAGTTGGTTGAACTGGTGGACACAGATCCCAGGGACACTGAAGGTAACCTTACTCTCTGTGCATAGAACACAGTCCCCACCACCTGTCCTCTGAGGAAGTGGTCCATGGGGTAGTAAAAGGGGCCTTTGCATGAGATGCTGGGTACCAATGGGCTTTGGTGTATTTTCTCCTGGGAAAGTGCAGGCCACATTCCAGTCTTAGTCGAAGTCCAGATATTTCAAAGACCCATGCTGGCCCCAGGAAAAAGAAAAAGCTAGAACCATTCACATTTCATTTAAAGACATCTGTAGAGAACTCAGTCGTTGAGAATCAAGAGTCTCTCAGAAATGGACACTGAAGTCACCAGAGAAGGCAGAGCTGCCAGGGAGCACTGGATCCCTTCCACCACAGCTATCCCTCCCCAAGTCACAATGTCTATGCTACAAGTCCAGCACCTGACTTCTCCATCATGGCCAGGAACCCAAGGTTTTCAGACTTGCACAGCACACTGAGCTTCCCAAGACATTGTCCTTATTTACTAAATGCTCCTCAGAATTGGGTTCCATGATGAAAGAAACCTTCTGCATGCTCCCTAAGACTGTTTGGCAAGGGGAGATGCCCTGTTCCTGCCCTGGTCCCTGACACAATCCAGGAGCACAGCAGGAATTGTACAGGGTCACCATAGGCTGTTCTCCCTATGTCTGATTAGCCAGAGACATTTCTGGAAAGGGCTAAGGTTGGTGAAAGTGTGTAGTAGTCACTACCAGCATGCCACACTGCTGCTATTGTGGCCTGGATGTGTGTGCTCTGGGCTCCTAGCAATCTTCTTCCCACATCCAGGAAAGAGCCTCACTGGGTAGTTTAACAGGGTGAAACTCTACAGCCAGGACCTGAACATGGAACCCTGGGCAGCATTCCTGTCTTGTCACCAGATCCTACAGAAAGTAGGCACCTCTCAGCAGAATGTGCAGAGAGCCTCATCCTCAGGAAAGTCTCATGGAAAGCAGCTAGAAAGTTCCCAGAAGTTTCTAGAAGTTTTCCCTGTCTGCCCATGCTCCATTAGCAGAGATGAGAAACCTCATTCTTGTGCTCAGGCTCCCAAGAAAAGTAGTGATTGTGCACTGTGGGGCCCTTAAGAAATGCCAGGAAATGATTTGGCCCTGCCCCTCCCCACCCTGCCTCATGAGGGAGGTTCCTCACCAGAACTGTCATAGCCATCAACAGAGAAATGGTCTGGCCTCCGCTCTTCTGGGGGATCACATGTGATATGGGGGACTGTGAGCATCTTCTCTCCAGGACTCACTCCATTATCCTTGTCTGGTTTGAACTTCTTTTTCTTTACCTGAAAAAGTGTCACACAAAGGTTGGCACTTCTAGGCATCCTCTGCCAGGCCCTCCATTGGTCCCAGAGCACCCAGAGCAGCCCCAGTCTGGCCTATAGTATATGCCTTCCAGGGAGCATTGACCAACTTCAGAGATGGGACAGGTTCTGGTGGGCCCATACCATACTGGTGCTACTGGGGCCTCACGACCCACTGAGCGCAGGTAGATGGAGACCAGTACACAGTTAATAAGGAAGGTCACACCAGGGAAGTAGTGATGGGGCTGTGGTAGCAGAGCACGTAAGACTGGAGGCAGCCAGAACCTCTTTTGGGGAGGTCAGCTGGAGGAAGCAGGCTGTGTGGAAGTCAGAGAGAATGTTCTGGAAGAAGGAGCAACAGCTATAATGGCTCCAGCAGCAACCAGAAGCTGGGAAGGCCAGGTCTCTGAGGAGGGTGTGGGCCTGAGCCAGGAAGGAGTAATCTCAAGCCTTCATCGTTCATCACCCAGCCAAACAATAAGATCCCTGTCCAAGGCTTGTGGGAACTTCCCAACTCTGTGATCTTGAGACCCTCTTCTCTGAGCTAGTATACCACCTCCATCCCCCACTGGCACCTGGAAACCCAACACCAAGGGCCTCTCAAGAGCCTGCTTTCCAGCAGCTGACCAGAATCCAGCATACCCCGTTGCTTGAGTAATTTCTCTGGCTCTTCATACTCCTGGCCTTGGAGTGGCCAGGCCTGCATGGCTCCAAGGGTAGGGACACTGGGATGGCAGGGCCACAGCTCCAGAGTCATAAGTCATGATGATACTCTGACCTGGACTACTCTGAGCTGAAAGACTGCAGTCAAATGTACTATGACACCCTGGCCATAAGCTGTGGCCCCATGGTCCCCCACTTGCTAAAAGGCAGCCCACCCTGGTAGCAGGCAGGGCTGGTTACCGTGACCATGGCAGACTTCTTTGGTTTGGGGCTAGGGGAGAGCAGCATGTGGCTCCGAGTGGGCTTCCGCACATAGATCTTCCAGGTAGAAGAGTCGGGGTTCTCAGCAGCATAGCACCTCCACGCAGTCTGAAATCGGGGAGGAGGAGGGGACTGTCACTCACAGAACTAGCCAGAGTCTCACCCCAACCCCAGGGCTTGGCAGGAGCCCCACTGCCTCCTCCAGACCCTCTGTCTTGACAATCAGGCTTGTGCCTCCCAGCCTGGCAGCTCACTGCCTCACACACACACACACACACACACACACATCTACCATTCATAGCTCAGGTGCCGTAAAGGCCTCTACCTTGGAGCCCCGAGCTCCCTGCTCCCCCTCCACTTGCCTGAGCTCCTTCTATAGATCAGCCCTGAACCAGATTCTAGACACACAGAGGCACACAGACTAGGCATGCATGGTGAGGGCAGGGGACGGGAAAGGCCTGGGCAACAGGACCCGCAGAGTGTGCAAGGCCAGCTGAGGAGGGGTCACCTGGGACCTGTGTGGGCACTGGGTGGAGAGTCAGGACCTCCGGAGCTGGTGAGGGTGAGACTGAGGGGACAGAAAGCAGAGTCCTTCTGAGACTCTACAGTACCATCATGCAGCTATAGGGAATCTCTGATGTCCATGGGTGAAGCTTTTAGTTTTTGGTCTAGAGAAGTGGTGGAGAACCTATTGCCCTCTCTGTGATGATGTCATGAATTGTATGAGTTGTTTTTTCTAAAGTAAAACCTCAGGGCCAGGGATTTAGATAAGTGGTTCCGCCACCTGCCTCGCAAGCTCAAGGTCCCAAGTTGATCCCCGGTACCAACAAACCAACCAACAAACAATAAAGTGAAACCTCAGTTTTCAGGTTTAATTCCAATGTTGGCACTTTGAAATAAGTATGGGTTTTGGGTTGCAGTTTGGTCACTCAGTCTCTAAAAGGCTTGCAATCACTGGTCTAAAAGGACCCCCACAGTGGCCACCACAGGGGATGACCTGGAGGACACACACTGGCAGGAAAATGAGAAGCTGTGCAGTCCCCAGGTAGGGAGGACCTAGAATTTCTCCTGAGGACATTGTGTTGGCCCTGTCATTGCCAGTCCTGTGACCTAGAGGAGAGCAGCCAAACTTGGGAGAGGTGCTGACACACAGTAGGGCTCCTGGCTGCCATGGATGCCTGCCGTCCTCACTCTCACCGGGTGATCTGGGCAGTTGGGAGGTCCCTGAGGTCTACATGTCCTGTGTACATGCTGAGCTGCCTCTGCATCCCACTGCGCACAGCAGCCTGTACCCCTCTCCTTCCTGTGTGCCCCCACAGCACCCACGCTGCCCACTGTTGCTATCTCCGGACCCAGCAAGTCCTCCCACCATGACCATGGCTTCTGAGGAAGCCCCTTGTCTGCAGGATGTGTGACTCCCGTAGAAGAAGAATTAAATCTGCCCCCTGCTACAGACACTCTGCCACAGTGAAGGTTTTATAGGCCTGATTTATGGTCTCTCCAAAAGGAGACACTATGGGGCCATAAAGCCAGGCCTGAGAGGGAGCACACAGCTATGGTCCCCCGGCTTTATGGTGGCTGCTATTTCCTTCCTGCTCAGCCCTCAGGTCCAGGCCCCAGACCGTTGGTTCTGGAAGGGTTTCAGAAGCACAGGGTGGAGACTCAGGCTTTGCTACAACCACAGGGCCATGGCCCGACAGGCACCCACCCATTGCAGAGAGCCCTGCAAGATGACCCCCACCAGGCTCAGCCTATCTAGGACCCAGACACTTACTGAGGGGCAGTCAGCCCAGGTGTCCAGGGGGCCTACTCTGTGCACCTGAGCCACGATACCGGGAGGATAGCCATTTCTGTGACCAGACACTGGCCTACTCAGCCTGATAATGTCTGTGCCTTCAGCTCCTCACCCAGCCCCCTCCTTGCCCCTGCCAACAAAGATTTACAGGGATATGGTTTTTAATGGCTCCTGTGCCCAAGTTATCACTGACATTAAAATGGCACCCCAGGGCACTGGGCGACAGCAGCACCCACTAGGTCTCATGCCACCTCCAGGACCTGTCTTGCCCTGGAACTCTTAGGTTCTGCTTAACCCAACTCCCAGTCTGATTCATGGGTGGCTCGTGCTGCCTCTCACTGGGAAACAACAGCCACTGCCCAAGCTAGGCTCTGCCCCTAGGGACAGTCACCTGGGGCCCCCTTGCCTTCTCCCTCCAAGACTCCACCCTGTGCTCAGCTAGGGGGTGGGTCATGGAAGGAGGGACAACAGGGTCAAGGAGCTGGAGCCCGAGGCTGCTGGAAGGTAACAGGGCCCATAGGCTGACCACACCAGATTGTGGAGTGGCCACAGTCTCACCTTGTCCCGACCCACAGATGGTTCTGATGGGAGCTGCCATGGAAGGAGACAGGCCCTGGGCTCCCATGCCACCTGGAACCCTAAAAGCAGATAATTCCCCAAGAGGGGCACCTGTGCGATGGGACGGGCACATAGTACAAAGTCCTTGCGTCCCACAGGCTGGGGCAGTGCAGAGGCCAAGGGTGGTTCCAACTCCAGGGTGGACACAAGGGCTGGATGTGACAGTGATGACGAAGATGGGAGGTGGCCAAGGCCGAGCATGTGGGGCACACCTGGATAAGTGATGCGGCAGCCGGGATCTGTCGGTTGAAGTGCTTCTGCCTCTGCTTCTGCTGGACTTTCAGGGCAAACCCAGAGCCAAGGATCCCCTGGGAGGAACAAAAATGAGGCTCACCACCAAGCAGGCTGCCACTGGCCAGGGCCCAGCCACAGGACAAGGATGTGGGGGATGTGGCCTGCTTAGACGTTAGCTCTAAGAAGCCAAACCCACCCTGGGTGGGAGGCACTGGTCAGCCTGCCTCAGTGTGGAGGGCAAAGCACATACCTGCACCTCCCAGCAAGGAGTCTGAGCCATCCCAGGGACCATGTTGGGGAGCAAGGTGGGTGAACCCATCTTCATGTGCCAGGCAGAGACAGCATGCTGAGATCAGGCTGGGAGCCAGAGCAGCCCCGGCTGAGGTGGCTGCCGCCATCACCATGCAGACGACTGCTGCAGCAGCCAGGGTACTCGCTACCCCGGCAAGGGATGGAGCCCTCCACACACATATGTGACACATACATACTAGTACCAAACCTATGCTATGTGAGATACATAGACCTAAGATACATTCAACGCATGTAACGTGTCTACACATGAACATACATACACATCGAGACACTCCCTGTGTGATACACATGCAGGTAGATATAAATAACACACATGACTCATATACATGCATGTACACGTGCAAATGCATGCGTACATGTGCACAGCGGGCCACTCACACATGTGTACACACAACATATACACAAGCCACACAAATACAATGCACAGGTACCTGCATAGACATATGGTGTGCACACACACACAGAACATATATACAGTATACATATACAACAACGTGTACACATATGCGGACTATTTTGCCACTTGCACACCTGTACTCACACAGTGGACTACATGCTCTTGCCCTCAGTTTGTCACTTCTGGAAGGGGCAGGAAATAGACGCTTCTGGCTGTGATGCAGGACACCCACTCCCCCTCCAGGCCACACAGTTCCACTCTGTGGTAACATGGTGACCACACTGGCACCCCCATTGCCTGCTCCCCACCAGAGCCATGCCAGGTTGCTCCCAACCTGCTACAAAAGAGCCTGGGGATTGGGAGCAGGAGAGGGCTGTGTCCTGGGCCCAGTGGCAGGTAGGCTTTGGAGGACAGTGCTTTGCTGACGGCATGTCCATCTTGGCTCTCAGTGAGCCTCCTCTGAATCTCCTCACAGGAAAGGACCTGCTGCCCAGCCCCAGTCCTAGGAAGCAGGGGAGATGGCCCCCATGGGCACCTACCGCTGGGAGTGCAAAGAAGGAGATGGCAAAGACAGAGAAGCAGGAGGCAATGGTCTTCCCAACCCAGGTCTGGGGTACCTTGTCGCCGTAGCCGATTGTGGTGACTGTGACCTGTGAGGAGGAGGGACATCGATCAGCAGTTGGCCAGCCTAAAGCTGTAAGATGGCACCTTCCTAGACCCTACCCCCACCCTGAAGAGGCCAGTAAGAGTCCCAACCACCAGGACAGCCACTCTCCTGCAGCTGCTGTGCAGCTCAGTGGAAGCACCAGGAGAGTGCACAGGAGGGCTCAAGTCCCCAGATCCTGACCCTCACACAGAATAGCCCACCAGGGCTGTGCAGAAAGAGCTTGGTATGTTGGGTCAGGGCACATAGGCTATACAGCCCACCCACAGGAGGACAGGCCTGCCTGCCCCACTGCCTGCCCTGTCCCCCAGAAGCCTGGCCCCTGGCCACCAGCATCGCTACACACAACCCCCAGGAGTCTGGGAGCTCCTATTGAGGCTGGCCGGCCACAAAGAGCTGGGACAGGATGACGTGCCACTTCCTGCCACCACCCCAGGGCTCCAGATGTTTTATTTTTTCTCTCTTCTGAGAGAACAAGACAAGGCTCTTGCCTTCTTCTTGGTGGGGGAGCCGTCTGTCCAGGGTGTGTGGCAGGACAATAGGAGTGAGGGGCTGTTCTCCCTCCCAGGTCGCCCCCCACTGGTATCTGACATTTGCTCCTGGGCCTCTGGTGAGGCAGAACATGCAGTCCTATGCTGCCAGGCCATACCCACCCAGAGTCTGCCTGTGTGGCTCTGGAGGGACCTTGAGGAGTAGTCCTGAGCCTGGCTCCAAGGCCAACTCATGCCAAGGCCACACTCTTGCCTAGGCAGCAAGACAGTCTGCCTGATGCCCTTACCACTATAGCTGGTACCTGCTGCCTGTGGTCTGCAGTCTTGCTCTGCCTAATTAGGGCAGCCCAGCTTATATCCTCTAGGGCCCAGTGACAACTATGCCAGCAGCCCTAGGAAGACCTTCCTGGCTGAGAATTGTGCAAAGGTCTCCATTTGAGCCTTGCCCTACTGAGCCAGGGTGCATGGCAGGAGCTCACTTACTAGGGCCCATTTGTGGCCCAGAGAGAGAGAGAGAGAGAGAGAGAGAGAGAGCGAGCGAGCGAGAGAGAGAGAGAGTATGACACTCTATAGTGACTGCTGACCATACCAGTCCCCAGGGAGACTCTGGCCTTGGGTTCTTGGTGCTCTCCACCTGTCATTGAGCAAGAGCAGCAGAAGCAGAGCCACACACATAGATGCATGAACAGAGACAGGTGTCCATGGCTGCTCAAAGCTGCTGGAGCAAGAGGACCAGAAGAGCCTCAGTGGCAGAAGTGATGATGTTCACAGGGAACTTAGTTATATCCACAGGCACCCGAAGATTTCAGTTTCACCCAGGCAACATGACAGGACTGGCCCCTACTGAGCCCCTGCCACCCTGAGACCCACTCCACCGGTGCCACACCAGGTATTTCTGCAGCTGCCCATGCAGTGCTTTCCCTGCAGTGTCAGCCCTGCAGTGTCACCATCCTTAAAACCCATGTGTATCCTGCACATCATCAGAGCACACAGGAACTGCTCAGGGCCAGCCCCTTTTAAGGGACCACCTGGCTTTGTGTGCATAGGGACACACCCACAAGTGTTGTACACTCCCAGGGACACCCACACACACACATGCTGAAACACATAAGGACCTGATGTTCTATGGCAACACAGCAGCATAAGCACACAGGGCAAGGTCACACACAGAATGGCTGTGCTCAGGGCACACTTGGGCCCAGATACCTTGTACTACCATGTGGACCACCCTTATCTTTGAACAGAGGTACGTGTAGGTCAGATCTAGGCCCCCTCAAGGGCAAGGCTGATGTTGGGGCAGCAAGGGGCCTGCATTCCACATGTGAGGGCTGGGCTGCAACTGCCTTCACCAGGGCCCAGGCTCATATAGGGCCATGCATGGGATACCAGCAATAAAAGAGCTGTGCAGGGCAGTACGACACAGCACTACCTACCCTGAGAGCCAGTCCACTTGGTGATGCCATGGCCCAGAAAGCCATTGGCAAGTTATGGAAGACACAAAACATGAGGCCCAGAAATCGGCCTGGAAAAGCCTGAGCCAACAGGGACTCCAGCTCACCCAGCCTTGAGCCTGAATGACTCCTGCAACCTAGACAGTTGAGGAGAGCAACTCCAGCATCTCTGTCTAACTCAAACATCTCAAAAGGACAGTCACGCCTTTAGTGTGAACATGCAGTTTCTATAAGTTTATCTAGCAACCTCCTATTCATCCCTCAAAACCCTGCTAGGGACCTGGGTAGCCTCTGCTGCCTGCCTGAAACCGTGCTCAGTGTTCCTGGTGGTGGGATCACCACAGCACTTCCTGCTCTGATGGTCTCATAACATATGTGCTCAAAGCCAGAGATGCCACACAGGGCAGAACAAAGCCCCACTTAGCTGGGCAGCCCCTCCTGCATCAGGTCATGGAAGACAAGGCTGAGAGCGAGGGGTTGTCATGGAGCAGTGGTGGTGGGCACCCCAGAGGAGGTAGGAGGAGGTAGGATGGATCAAATCCCTTCAGTTAGCAGGCAAGTGTGGGTGGACAGTCAGCCCAGAGTTGCACAGGGTATGGTAGCACCAGCTACCCCAGTGGGCCTGGCGGGGCCTCTAGGTGCCTTGACCAGGTGTCAGGCCCAGCCTCAGACTGGCTCCACTCTGTCCCAGCACAAGGTGTGCTCTGCAGCTGTGGCGACAGGAATGCTGGTGGGAAGACCCAGGGTCTCCAGTCAGATTCATGAAGATTTGCTTGTAAATGCATGTTGTTCTTTCAGTGTTGTTTTTTGTTTTAGAAAATATAGTAGCTTCGCATAAAGTTGTTTTACATAAAATGGTTCCATTATTATTTGAACAAATATGGAAGCATTTAAAAGTTTCTTGGCTTTATTAACTGTTGATAGATATAAGCCACAGAAACAGCCCCCTATACGAAGAGTATGAAGAGAAGGCAGCCATGGCATTGCATGCACGTAACCCTAGCACCCTGGGAAGCTGAGAAAGGAAAATTAGAAGTTCAAGCCTTGCTTGGGCAATTTAGTAACTTAGCAAGAACCTATCTCAAAATTTAAAAATACCAAAAGGTCCAGGGATATAGCTCAGTGTAATAGTCCTGAGTTCAATCAATACTACCGCCTACGCCCCCCCCAGGCATGAAAGGGTTCAAAAAAGGCATGAAAGGCTTCAGAGTGAATTATCAGCCAGTTGCCACTCTGCCATGGGTGCATGGCAGGCATCAGTATCTGCAGGTGGGTGTTAGCATTGCGAGCACTGAGTGTATGGGATACCAGCAAACTCAAACACTGAAACATTAACTCAGGGTTGGTATACTGCTAAACTTTCCTATAACGTTAATAACAACCTTTAATTATTTAAAAGATTCAAAATGATTTCGTGAAGCTGTAAAATATTTTCGATTTTAAAAATCTAAATTAATGCTAAAATAAAATCTCTGATGAAGGAGAAAGAGGGGTCAGGTAGGGGGAAGAGCCCTGGCAGGAGAGGGCAGATATGCAGGAAGTGGTCACATGTGCCAGGCAGGTGTGGAGGTCTGAGACCCCCTCCTCTGCCACCCACCTCAGCTCCTGGGCTAAGCAGGTGGTCACAGAAGCCAGGAGCCCAGGCAGGAATAGGCAACCCAGTAAATGCCCAGCACCCACTCCTCTTCCAAGGCCCCTCACCCCTCTTTGTCTCGTGAATGGGGTCCTCCATCCTCCCCAGGAAACGGCCCATCCGGCAGAGCTGTTTGCTCGGACTCACAGACACAAGCAGCTCAGGAATGGGCTGTTTTATAGCCCTGGTGCCTGGAACTTATCCCCACAGCTGGCCATGGGGAAGGCAGATCTGCACATCTCCCAGGCGGATGGACCAAGGCAGGCAAGGCACACAGGCTGCTCACGCTCAGGCCCACAGATACGCCACATAGTGACAGGACCCGCAGGGCAAGCGGCCATGGGAACAAGCCCTGGTCCCTGGAGCTGGTGGGCAGGGGCGTGCCCTCCACCCTACCGTGGCCTGCTGTTCTATAGCTTCATGCCCCTGTCGGGGACACAGGAAGCTTTGATCTGTACCCCATTCTGCTGCGAGAGGCCACACTGGTAGTGTTTTATCCCCTTTTTGAGACAGCCTCTGGAAGTTGGCCTCCAAGGGAGGATGAGGACCAGCCCAGAAGCTCACCTGCAGCTGCACCCAGGACCCTTGGCTTTCTGTGTATTTACTGACTGAATTCTCTGACAGGCCGTCGAAGCTGGTCCTTGTCACATTCTCGTTTCACAGATGGACCCAGAGGGGTGTGTTAGACAAGCTGTCTAGTCCCACATAGCAGGCACATGGTAGAGGGGGATGTGAATGCAGTTCCACATCTAGTGTCACCCCACCTCCTTCTGTCCCACTGTTTCCTGACACTGTCTCTGGAAAGCTCTGGGGCCTGAGATTCCCCCAGGCTACTCCCCACTGGCCCGAGCTGAACCCCATCCCCCAAGAGGAAATTTGTCCTGCATATCACCCTCACAGGGCCTGGCCAAGCCTCTGGAATCAATCCCCCAGGAGATGGTTAATGGGCAGTAAAAACAGGAAGATAGATATACCTTGTGGGCTCCTATTCATCCTACAAAACCCAGCTGTAAAGCCCTCCTCAGGAGAGTCCTCTGGCAAGGTACTTCAGACCCTGGTCTCTCACAGTACTCCTAGGCTCCACATGGAGCTCTGGGCAGAAGAAAACCCCTGGTCTGGTGGGTCTGAGTGCTGCCACCCTGGCTTTAGTTTCTCCAACATCCAAGGAGGTCCTGACACTGAGCCCTCCCACTGGATGGTGCTCAGGCTCCCCAGCCCCCGCTTGAGTCCTCAGGCTCTGGGCCTAGCTCCACCAGGATGCAGCACAGTCTGGGAGGCAGGAACTTTCCAGAGCCTCCAGGTGAGGAACGAAGGGCTGTCAGACTCTGTTTTAAAAGGGGCTGAAATACAGGGGCGGGGTTCCGGCCTTTCCACTCTAAATTCTAAATTTAGATGCACAGAGGTAAACAGAGCCCAGCAGCCTCCAGTTTTAGAGACCCCCAGGCACTAACAGAGGAGCCCGTGTTTGCAAAAACTGCTTTCCTTCCACTCAAACTTTAATACAAACAAATGCGTTTTGTTCCAAGGGCAAAGAAAAAAGTCTTGAAATGCTCCCCAAATGCCTCACAACCATGCTTGTGCTCCAGGCTCCAGGAACCCAGGAGACCTCACATCCAAGGGGGCGTCCCTGCCCCAGGGAGAGTACCAGAGGGCACAGTCAAGCATGAAGCCAGCAGGTCACTGCGCAGCTGTGAAACTGAGGCCCCAGGAGTGGAGCATGCATCCCATGAAGTCCACTGGGATGCCTATCGTCCGGGCCCAATCACACCACCCCATCCCTCAGAAAGGCTCATCTTCAGAAAGAGGTCTTCAAAGATGTGATTGAGGATCTGGAGACAAGGTCATCTGGACAATCCGGTCAGGCACTAAACCCAGTGATGGTGTCCTCAGAAGAGACAGAAAGGAACACAGACAAAGAGCCTTGCAGGATGGGCCAAGGGCCACCTGGGGCTTTAAATTTTGAAAAGACAAGAAAGACCCTCTGGGAGTCCTCAGTGTGTGGCCCTGCCTAAACCTCCATTTTTCTCAATTCTGGGCCCTGGAACTGTCATAAATGTCTACTGTCGGAAACACAATATTGTATGACTTTGTGTGGCAGCCACAGGGGGGAAAAATCCACTCACCATTCCCAGGGCCACAGGACAGGATTTTCTGCAGGCAAATCAACTGGTTCATTCATTCAACCAACAAACCCAGTGGCTCCCAGTGGCCCCTGCATCCCTGAGTCTGTCTTAGGTATGCGCTCACCCGCAACCAGACCTGGGAGCAGGTCCTAGAGTCCAAGCACAGCCTGAAACATTTGTGATGAAGACTGAATGGTCAGGTCTCCGGGAAGTGCCCCACCTGCAGAGTGCCCTATGGCAACTCCCAACATCAAGATTCCCCCAACTCACTCCATCCTCTGTTTGTCCAAAAGGGGAACCTGGGAGGAAGGGCTGGGAGGGGCCATGGGGAAGGTGAAGGAAGCCAAGACAATAGCAAGAGGGGCCAACTGTCCAGGGCTCAGCTGTGGGTTGGCACACAGGCTGAACAGCCCCCAATCGGAGCTGCCCCGGCCTGCATTTCTCGAGTTCTGTTTGTCCGAGAAGTGCCAGGAACACAGCCCATAACTCAAGCTTTGAGGGCTGCTCCCACCAGACAGCTGCAGGGGCAGTGATGAATGGGAGCTGTTTGCCCCCTAGGCCAAGTGGCAAGGGGCCCTGGGCAGGCAAGGGCGCAGAGCCCGATGGGAACAATGGCCAGACCAGGGTGCGCAGTGGCCGAGGCGCAGGCTGCAGCTGACAGCGCGGCTGGGGCATCGGTGCCAAGCCAGGCACAAAGGGGCCGTGTTCCCGGCGGCGGGCGGATGTTTGCACAGGTGTGGGAGTAGAGCGCCACTCTGCCGCAGGCCGAGGCCGAGGAGCAGCCCCAGCAGGCAGCGGGGAAGGCAGGCAGGGCAGCACCAGGGCTGGGCACTGCTTATCAGCTGGGCTGCAGGCTGTCACCTACTCGTTTCCTGCTGCCCCTCGGCTCTTCACTGCCTGCCCCCCAGTTCTCTTGTCTGCCATGAAGGCCCTATCAATTTCCCAGGAGGTGTCTCCCCCTCTGCTGTAGGCAAGCTTCCTGCCTGCCAGGGGCTGAGTCCTCCCTCCCAGACCTGCACAGGCCTGCTCCACCAGGGCCTTTGGGGACACAGGCCCCCAGGAGTGCAGGGAGAGGCTGAGTCTGGGGCTGCCCAACATGGGAGCTGTGTCAGCATGTCTGTACTTTCCCTGAGCAGCCTGGCACAGTGGAAGCTTCTAGAAAACACAGTGACTTGGCCAGCATCAGAAGTACCTGCTGCGTGCTTGGCCTTGTGGGGGACACAGGAATAGCAGGCCATGTGTCTATACTACTTTGTATGCATCGAGTTCTGTAACCTTTCTGTTGATAGAGGACAAAGGTTCTAAGCAAATCCTTCCTTACTGGACTGGGCACAATGAAGGGCACACAGGCTAGGCCTGATGCAGTGTCACCTTCACCACTACCCACCCTACTCTGTGTCCCTGGAGCTTGCACTGGCCCCAGGGCCAGGGCACCCATATCCCCCAGGCTGTAGCCTCTTTTCTCCCCAACCCCAGCCCATGCGCATGGTTGCCACTGCCCTTCATCGCAGGCTGAAGGAGATTGGAGGACAGACAGCAGACACCATGTGCTTCTGCCTGAGAAAGACAGGAGGCCCGCTGGGGTCTGTGGCAGGCCCCTCACCTCCCACCCATGGCCTCCTAATCCTGGCACTCTGCAGGGGTGATGGCACCTCCCTGGGCAGTGGTCTCCAGACAGCCCACTGCCCCTGCAACTAAGGGGAAATGGGATGGAGATGGATGGAATCAGGACCCCCCCCCATGTATTGGGCACCTTGTTCTTGCAGAAGCTGCCTTAAAGCTCAGTGCCCAGATGAAAGCCAGGTCTCCATAAGAGATTTGAGATTATGGAGCTGCCACCAATTTCTAGAGGGACCCTGGCAGCCCGGACCTTCCTAAAAACACCTTGGCTAGCACGTTCTGATGCCATAAGAGCCTGTGTCTAGAGCACCCACCTGTGACCCAGGACTCTGGAGCTTGGGCTGAGCAGGCAGGTCCTCACTGGCACCCCTTCCTCCACTGCGCACTGACCCCAGAGTCCCTAGCTCCAGCCTGCAGGAGGAACCCACCCACATCCTCCACACAGCATAGCCTTGCCATGGGACACATGGAGTTCACATGCAGGTCACCGGCTACATCCTGCCTCCCCACAGCCTGGCACGTTGGGGCCTTGAGCTACCCGAGCCCAGCCTCCCAGCTGTACTGAGAGCCTGTCCGCATAGCCAGCACTGCCTCAGGGCTGTGCTGGCAGAAACAGTGCCACATCCCAGGGCAGCAAGAGAACCTGGGGGCAATGTCTTGGAAGCGTGGATCTCTGGTTCTCTCCCAGGTGTCTCCACTTGTCAAGGTAACTTCACATCTCACCCCTCAGGCACAGGAACACTCATGGGGCTAGCACAGACTCTCAGATACACCAAGGCACATGCCTGACCCCAACTATCTCACACCTGTATCCAGGATCTGCCGAGGAAAAGGGCAGCAGGATGGCTAACGCACCGAGCCATGCTTACCCTCCCTGTCCCCCAAGCTTCCCTTCCAAAACAAGTTCAAAGGTGAAAGTGCTCAAACTTCCAGAGGGACCCCAGAGCCCTCAGCATGAATGGAGCATGGAGTGCAGTGGGCTTCAAGTATTAATCCAAGGACAAAGAGTTTTGAACCTTTGGGTGAGGAGCCCCTGCCCAGCAGGTGTCAAATCTTGAGAAACCAGGGCCCAATACCTGCTCTGCCTCTCCCCAGGCCCACGTGGCCCCAGCAGCCCCAACTTACCACCCCCCACCACAGTGCATCTGCGTAGCTTCCAAACTCCACGAGGCCCGACTCATTCACTGCATCCTTCTCAGCCAGGTACACAAAGTAGGAGGAGAAGATGAGGCCCAGGAAGCCAATATACAAAGTGGTGATCAGCTCCTAGCCAGTAGACAAAAACGATATCAGCTCACGGCACCCTGAAGATAGGCAGGAAACTCACCGGGCCAATATCAGAGGCAGCAAGGGGATAGCACTGAATTCTAGTATTTACCAGATCATTCTATAGCTACACGGGCATGTTTTGTGTATACAGGTCAGGGTCCCCAAAAAGCTATTATTTACAACTTTGCTAAATAGTCGTGAGACTGGCTCTGGCTATTATCCAAGAGTGACCACCTGGCACTGCAAAGCCTCTGCTGACCAATGGCTCTGTCTTCTGTAACGAGACAATATCAAGAATTGGCTGGTATTCAGCAGAACTTCAGGGCAATGAAAGGACCTTGTATAGCCTGACCTGGGCAGGGCAGCTGAGGCTGTGGGGCTCAGCTTTTAGGATGTTCTGAGTTCTCCTTAGTCTCCCTGGCTTTAGATTTCTGAGCCTCACAGACTTTTACTCCATTTTGCATTTTTGTCCTTTCATTTATCCAGTTGTGCTTTGTCCCAGGTTGAAGGAAGGTAGCATCAGTCTGGCAGGCGAAGAGGCTGATACCAGGTGTGAGGTGGAGCGCCCACCTAGGGCTCAGGCCTGGGTGTCAATCTGGGATTCTGGTTCCCATCCACACACCCATGTGCCCTGGTACCTGCCTGACCCTTAGCCACTCAGCTGGGGTACATGGTACAAAGACTATACACCTCACATTCAGGTAGGACTGGTTATGTGCCCTACGGTGCTCCCCTGAACCCCCACTTGGGCCATGTACCTGGCGGTGGATGAAGACCACGGAGCCCAGGAGTCTCCAGGTGCCTCCCTGGCGGTCTACGTGTAGCATCCGCAGGATCTGGAGGAAACGGATGCCCCTGGGAAGCAGACAGAACAAGGATGGGAGGACCAGACCAGTTTCAGGCATTTGTCCCTGGTCCCATGGAAGCAGCAAATAGGATGGGATCCCTGCCCCTACTGGGCATCCACTCTGGTAAGGGAGACACATGCACGTCCACCATGACTGGGGTGACTTGCCTCTGTGCCTGCCTTCCTGACCCTCCCTTGGTCAGGATCTCTGAGTCTTCCCACCAAGGGCAGCCCTTCACTGCTGGCTCTGATCATACTTGGTGGCCACAGGGTCGGCTGCGCATCTCCACATGCCTTTTGCCCCCACACTGCCTTCTGAGGGAGCCTGAGGTTGCCCAGTTTACCAATAAGCAGGCCATATGTCCAAATAGGCTGCCACCCATGTCTCAGAAGCTAGGAAGTGCTGTGGTGAATCTCAAACCCAGGGCCATCTAATATATCGAGGTCCTGACCACAGCTGTCCCAGCTCGCTGCCTGCAATGGTGTGGGGCAGGGGTGAGCATACCAGAACAGGTGGATGGAGAGTGAGACCACCCACTGCTTGGGGTGAGGGGCCCTACAGGAGGGTTGGCCAGCAGGGAACTTTGCACTTCGACGTACCTGATAGCTGATGTGGCAAACACCTGCCCTTTTGAGCCCACACAGAGGACAACCATGGAGGCCACAACCACGATGAGGTCTGTAGGGGTGGGATAATGAGTTAGGACCTCCAGCAGCTGGCCCACGGGGACAGCACACCCTCTACCCACCTCTGGGGTAGAGGCTTGCTATGCTAGAGAGACAGGGTCCCATGAGAGGGGACTTGGGCAACACCTGAGGGAGAGGCCCAGGCCTCCAGTGTGGCACATGTACAGCTGCCTCACCTCAGCCAGAGCTGGGCCCTGAACCTCAGGCCTGAATCCCAGCCACTGAGGACAACTGAAACATTGTCAAGCTGTTCTGAGTAAGGAAGATCCTCAGAATCCGAGAAGGGCCAAACCCTATTAGCAGCATCTTAGCATGCAAGTGGCCCAGGCTGCAGGAACTGGGCGGTCACCCCTTGTTGGCCACGGGGTCCTGCCCAGTTGTGAGTAGGAAGAGTGGGAGTAGGCTCTTGGTCACTGGGAGATACTCTCTGGTGGTGGTCATGATGTGGGGTCCTTCCTGGTCTAGAAACTGGTAAAGTATTCTGTGGGACTCACCGATGATGGAAATGGGCTTCCGGGCAAAACGCAGCCGGCCCCAGATGCCCACATACTTGCTACAGCAGCCTGCAGACCAGAGACGGACCACATATTCTGTCCCAAAGAACACCACCAGGACAATCTCCTATGGAAGAAAGCAGGTGAGTTCTCCCCAGGCTGTGACTCATTCAGGTGGTCACAGGTGGAAAGGGACCCCTCCCCCCCGAAGCACACTGGGTCTCCCTCTGTAGATGCCAGCATGTAAGGCCACCTGGAGCCCAGGCTCCCCAACCACGGACACCCAGTGGGGCTGCTGCTCTTCAGACAGAGCACAACTGGGCAGGGAATCCCACAGCAGAGGTGCTGAGGGCTCCTCTGTGCCAGTGCTCTCACCTACCTACATGATATCTTCAGGCCTGTGTTCTCCAGGCAGAACCAACTGAAACCTCTGAGGCCCTACAGCACATGCTACAAGGTGGGGGTGGGGCTTAGAGAGCATCTGTCCTTATGCTACTGTCTTCTTTCACCTGTATTGCCAACCTTGGGGGACACAGTATCTACCACCTTGGGCTTTCCCTGAGGCCTGGGCACAAGAACTCCAGGAGGGGAAGCTGGGCAGCAGAGACAAGGGGGCCAGAGTAAAGTGCAACATCAGCCCTGAAAGAACTCCTCTGGGGTCCTTCCATACAGACTAGGCCTCAAGCACATACTGTCCCCTGGGTGCTCTGTAGTCAGGGTGCTCTAGGGAGGGGGATGGGCAAACTAGGTGGCCACAGGCTAACATGTGGGTTATAATGGATGGACAGAAAGATGGCCAGTGCTATGGTGAAAAAGGCTGGAGGAGGAGTCACCCAAGACCCGGAGACAACAGTGGGAAGTCAGGGTACTGGTCAAGGCCTCAGCGCTGACTGGCACCCTGAGAGCCCAATACTCTAAAGACAGGTAGCCAGTGCTTCACCTCAAGGTGGGCCCCAGGTACCCATCACATGAGCCCATCTGGAGAGGAAAATAGTGGCTGGCCAGCTGTAGGGTAGCCAGCAGCAGCAGCGCCTGGGCTAGCCACACCATCCTGGCAGAAGGTTCAGTCTTGGCCATCACAGGAACCTGGAGGCCCCTAAATGAGAAGCTCTTCTCTCCTGCTCCATCCAGGGCAGCTTGAGACTGGTCCTCAGGCCTCATGTGCTAGGCAAGTGGACCCCCTGACTACCTCACCTTCACAGGGACCCCATGTGGCTGGCCCTGCTGTACCACACACTCCTCAACCCCAAGCCTAGAAGGCAGCAGCTTCTAGAGGAATAGGAGGTATAGGATGATGACCTGAAGGATTGAATCTTATGCCATGGGCATGCATTTGGTAACTTTGGCCTCAGTTTCCCTAGCTGTGGACAGCAGTGGCAGCCATCTTAGTGGGCCGTGGTGAGGATTTAATGCCCAAATGCATAGCCCATTGTGATGCTCAGAGCATGCAGCAGCCTAGAACTTACATGCCCAGCTCCTGGCCAGCCTTGGCATAAAGAAAGCCCACAGGGAAGGCTGGGGTTAGGAGGCTAAACCGACCCCCACATGTGGAAAAGGACTATGCAAAGCCACAAAGCCATGAAGCCACAGAGCATTTTGCTTCTCAGGCCTGCTTCCAGCTGGCTCCCTGCCTGTCTTCCCTTGGGAACCCAGCCTAGAGGGGACTTCCGGTCCAATGGGTGGCAGTGCCTGGCCCTGCCCACCACCAGTTCCCTGCCAGGGAGTCCACAATGAGAGGGTGACTGGATACTGCTATCGCTGGCTCCCAAATTCTATTAATTAAGGCAAAATAACATTTAGCAAGCTTGGTGGATAATGCAAGAAAATTTGGGAAAGTTTAGTGCCTTCCCCTTGCAAAGATGTATTGGCGTGTGACATGGAATCCTTTGGGAGTGGAATGTGTGTGGTGTTTACACAGGGAGAGTGAGGGGGTCCCAGCACTCATAAGCTCTGTCACCTCCTCGGGGGCAGGGCTTTGGCAGTGGTGGCTGAACCCACCAGGGAGAGGCCACCTTGGTCTTGTTCATTCCATTCTCAGGCCTAGAACACTGCCCGCTCTAGTTAACGCTCAGTATGGATTTGTAGGAGGGAAGAAGAAAACAAAGGGAGACAGGGAGGGAAGAAAAGAACATAGAAAGAAGGGAAAGAGAAAGGGAGGAAGGGAAGGAAAGCAGGAAGGAACAAGCAAGCAAACCTCGAGCTGTCCAGTAACAGGGACTGTGGTTCATCTTTGTTTCCTGAGAACCTGACCTGGCAGGAATGCTGAGCTACAGGACCATGTGAGTCTTTGGCCAACATGAAGCCCAGGCTCTCAGTCCTCAATGCTGAGCCACAGGTCCCCATGAGTTCTAGTGGAGTTGGGGTGGGATGGCTCACTTGATCACTGGTGGCCTTGATAGGAAACAGTAGCACCCCAATGGTGCCAGGCTCCTTACCCTGCTCTGAGGGCCCACATACTACCAGCTGACAGGCCTGTATTATTTTGAAATACTTATGTTTATCATTTACCTTTTCTAGTCACATTCCTAAGCAGATTTGAATCACTAAGCAGGTTGTAGAATACACCTTGAAGTAAACAGCTGTCAGGGATGGCTTTTGGTGGTTACAGATCCCCTCAGATGATCCTGGTCTAACACTTGGGGAAAACCTATTTGGGAGCCAGCTGCAGAGACAGAGACTCAGGAGTCCTGAAGCGGGATGAATAATTTAAAATGACAGGGGTCCTCCAGTCCCATCCGGCTGGAGCGCACAGTGTGAGGTACACCTGGGAAGGGCTTGATCACTGGTCCAGCTCGGGCAGGGCCAAGTTAATCAGTGCGGAGCTGTTGGCCAGCCAACAGGCAAAGGAAAATAGCCATATCCCATGCCAGAAAGAGCAGGAGCCAATGTTTGTTCAGAGAAAAAAACCATCTTCAGCTTGATCAGCCTCACACACAGGGCAGGGTTGAATGAGATGACATTCAGGGCCAAGGCTATACTGGGACCCCTGAGTGCTGGCACTCAGTAGGGAGGGGCCTGCAGAAGGGCTGACCCTCAAGTCACATGGTAGCCCACCCTAACTCAAGGTCAACACCCCCAGGTCCAAAGCAGAGACACCTTTGCCTATCTCTGGCCATGGGATGCCCAGCCTTAGCAGTCCAGAGCTTAGGGCTGACCCAGCTGTTCACCTTGGCAGGGATGGGCCTGAGGCTCGCCTGTCTTTCAATATCTGGGCCAGGGATATGAAGCCCAAGAATGGAGTGTGGCCTATGCTCTGCATCACAGATGTGAAAAGGAGAGACAATCTTGAGCGAAGGAGCCTAAGATCTCCAGTGAAACCACCTTCCCTGGCCTCTGTCCCTCAGATCAAAGCGATGTCTCCTGAGACAGGTATGAACACCAAGCATACCTGACGTTAGGTCAGAGAAAGGATGGAGTCCATGGCAAAGGCTCAGGCAAGATGTAGCACAGGTGTCCTCAGATTTGGGAGTGGACACTGGTTCGTGAGAGAGGGCTGATGGCTACCACACACGGCATGATTAGAGTTGCATGGGGATAGTGGGGGTTCTGGGAGCAGCCTGTAACTGTGAGAAAATGGTTGCAGGTCACGGGTGGAGGACATGAAGGTGGGACTGAGGGTGACCTAGACAGACCAAGAGCCACCAGCATGGCCAGGCCAGGGCAGGGAGGTATCCTAGGTCCCCTGGAGTGAGGCAGGAAGATGGGCCTGGTCCACATGGAATAATAAGTACCATCTGCCACCCTGACAGTCAACTCACAGACAACAGGCACAGGAAAGTACCCAGCCAGTGTAGGCCGCCAGCCTCAAAAGCACAGGATGCAAGCCTCCAGTAACCTGTCGTCCTCCTGTCTCCAGACTTATGAGGAGGCAAAAACTGCCACTCTTCACACTGAGCACTGTGGTTAACTGCTGGGTTTCCTGATAAGGTCTGGAAATAGTTGGTGCTGGGGCCCATCCTCCCAAGACCCTCCACTACATGCCACTCTCCTGCACACTAGCCCTGCCTTACACATTGGTTAGCTCTTTTGGAGCCTAGGTCCAGATCCACACTGGCATCTTCTGACTTGCACCTAGCAGCTGTTAAATGCTGGCATTATTTGTGGAATTTAAAAATTATTTTTTAAAAATAAAGCTCCCAACAACCCAATTTAAGAACAAAAACAAAAAAGCAAAAAGCAAAAGACCAAGACACATTTTTCTAGAGAGGCTGCACCAAGGACCAGAAGATGACCAGTGTCACAAATCACCAGAAATACACATCAAAATCCCAGTGAGATGCCATCTCATGGCCTGTCATGAGAAAAACGATGAAAAACACAGAACTGATGAGGCAGGTACAGACCTGCCACCAAACACCGCAAATGGGAAAGGAGCACAGCCACCGCAGGAAACCTTAGAGATTCCTCAACATGCAACGTGAAATTACCACCCACTCAATTCTGCTGTGAACCCAGACCTGCTTTAAAGAACAGTCTTAAAAAAAAACAAAACAAAACAACCCTACCAAAAGTCACAGTTACTGTACAGCTCAGCAACTCCACTTTTGAGTTGATACCCAAAAGAACTGAAGGCAGGGGCCTAATGAGAGGCAAGTGTGACCTGTTCCTTACAGCAGCTTTGTTCACAGCAGCCAAGAGGCGTTGTCCACAGACAAATGAGAAATGAATAAGATGTGGTCCATCTGCACTGCAAAACAGCAGTGGCCTTAGGAAAGAAGGAAATCCTGATGGGAGCTATAACCAGGATAAACGTTGAGGATGTGATGCTCAGTGGAATCTGCCAGGCCCAGAGGGACAAACTGTGTGAGTCCACTCAGGGAATGCTGGGCGTCGAAGGTGGGGGGGCCAGGGCCGGGGGAGTTCGTGTCTATGGGGGACAGAGCCTCAGTTTGGGGAGATGAAAGGGTCCTGGAGACGGCGGTGACAGCTGCGTAACAGTGCACATGTGCTTAATGTCCCTGATCTGTGCACCTAAAAATGGTTATTATGGGGAATTTTACAGTATTTTATCATTGTAAAAGAAAATGGGGCTGGAGAGGGACAATGGGAAGTGATTGTTAATGGATATGGGTCTCCTTTTTGGGGTAGTAAAAAATTTCCAGGAATAGACCGAGGTGGTGATTATGG